TGGTATTTGGCCAGACCCCTATTGCCCCCCTTTTTTTGCCTTCTGTTGACACTTATCACCCTTTCACTTCTTGTTCAGTAAAAGCTATCTTTCCAATGATGAGCTGTGTCCTCATTTCCTCCTTGACTGTGGCCCCTTATTATATCCCCCAAGTCTCTGTGAATCCCAAAACTTGGAGAGATCCCAGTAAGCCCTCTGACTCCCCTTCCCAGGGCACACCAAGTCAGGCAAACACACTGCAGAGTTCAGTTGAATGCCAGCTACTGAACTTTACCGTATTAAAGTTTAGGAGACAAGGGAACTAAAACGTGAAAATGTCCCTCACCTACCTGGGACCCCCAAAGTATGGCTTGCAAGTAGTCCCTTCCCACTCACCTACTACCAGGCATGATGGGATGGATGCTCACTCCCACCCTCTGGTCTCAGAGCCACAGTACTTCAGTGCCCCAAAACTGACCACTCTACCTGGAGTGCTAGGGCATTGTACATGTGGACACCTCTGACCCACAGTTGTAAAATGGATCCCAATCAGTGACAATTAGGAATGGTTCAATTGTTACATGTGTCCACCCCCTGAATGTGAAAGACATCACACAAAACTCACATTTGTTGTATTATTTTCCCTGTGTTTCAAATCTGTAATGCTGAATGTTTAGGTTTTTTTTTTTTTTTAGCAAACACTGTAGCTTGTTTGTTTAACAGCAAGGTAAACTTCTATTATATCACTTTACTTAGAATTAAGCATCTAAAAGTATCTCAATAGCTTTGCACACAAATAATGTCATCATAATACACACACTGTATTAAAGGATTATAACAGGATTTCCTTAGTAAATCTCCCATTGTACCATAATAAAGATTTCAATGAGTTCCTTGCTAATCTGTCAGTAAACTTATTTCAACAATATTTTAAGAGTTCCAGCTGTAATTTCACAAGCCTTTATTAGTTAGGGATAGGTAAACTGTTTTTGCAAGAATAATGGCCCTTAAAACAGTGGTTCTCAATTTTTTTTTTTATATCAGGATCCATTTGTAAACATTAATGGCCAATCCTGACACAGTGCCCCTCACTCCTGACCCACTGCCTGTCACCCCTAGGCCCACCACTCAGTACGTGGGGTGAGAGGGTGGGGTATGAGGCACAGGGGGGCCCTAACCAGCCCCTTGCAGGCTAGAACTCTGCCAGCATGCAAGGGAAAAGCCATGGGTTCCCACATTTTTCTCCTTCAAAAGAGAATCCATTTTAAAACTTGTTTTTATCCATTTTTAAAGTTGTTCCTGACCCTTTCATATATTCTTGTGATCCACTTTTGAGTCATGACCCACAGGTTGAGAAACACTGCATTAAACCATTGCCCATTCCTTAAAGCAAGCCTTCTTTAAAAGTTAGGATTATTACATAAATTCCCTGAGAATCAAAGATACTTTTGTGATGTCTCTTATTGGACCAACTATATAGTTGGGAGATGCATTAGAGAAGCTTCCAAGCACAAAGTGCCCTTCCTTACATCCTTAAGATCTCTTCAGAATATTTCGCCTCTAATATCAGGGTCAATCCTGCTGTCAAGGACTCCCTGTTAATGACACATCAGAGTGTATAACTTATCCAGGAAAATCAACTGCATTGTTTACAGAAATGTGAAGTTTATGAAGTATTTGCTAGAAAAGCCTAGAGGTGCAAAATTCAAGTGAAGCAGCATTAAGGTGACCCTAACTGCTGCTGGAGTGAGAAGAAGGTGGAGGCATTTGCTCTGTCCCTTAGAAAAAGATTGAGGGAGAGAGAACTAGATTCTTCCTTGAGAAATCTGCTGCCTCTGTCATTGGATGCTCTCACAGAAAAGTAGGAATGGAAGGGACCTATACAGGTAATCTAGTCCAGCCTCCTGTATGCGATGGGATTTTCCCTATCCAAACCATCCTATACAAACCATCCTATCCATTGTCTAACCTAGTAGCAAAACTACACAATCAACCAGGGCACAACCACAAGACATAATACCCTAAGCTACCACATGTAAAGCAGGGGGACCACAGTGGCCAACGTCCTGCTACTACAAAAGCTGTTAAAATGCATTCAAGAGATCCAAGGAACAAGGCCATGTCTGTCCGTCCCTCCGACCATAGGTTAAAATTCCTTCCTGACCCTAAATACAGCGACAGGTGTGATGCTGAGTGGAGAGGTAAGACCCTCTAGCCAGAAACCTCACGGCTTAAGTTCCAAAAGGGCACTGACACCCCAGTCAAAATCCCCAGCCTTGCTGCAGCCAACACTCAATGCTTCTAAGGAAGGCTTAAAAAAACCCTGACACATATAGCAGCAGGAGGGGGAAAATAATCCTTTCCTGGCCCCATGTAGCAACAAGCAAAGCTCAGTAGCATGGGAAATACCCACAGCAGAACACAGGCATAGCTACTCCTAGATCATCCCTGACCAATGCTAACCCAGTCTCTTCCTAAACACCGCTGATGGTGGAGGTTCCACAACTCCCCTAGGCAGTCCATTCCACTGCTTCGCTGTTCTACCAGTGAAGTTTTTCTTGATATCCAATCTAAACTCACTTAGCTGCAACTTCAAGCCATTTGCCTGCATTTCATTCTCTGCAGCAAGAGAGAAAAGGTGTTTTCCTTCTTGTTTATGGCAGCCCTTCAAATATTTAAAGACTGCTATCTTACCTTGTAAGCACCTTTTCCACAAGCTTAACATGCCTATTTTCTTCCATCTCGCCTTGCATTATTTGCCTTCCAAGCCCTTTGTAATTGTTGCTCAGCTCTGGACCCTCTCTAACTTCTCCATACCGTTTTTAAAATGCAGAGCCCAAAATTACACACAATACTCTAGATGAGGCCTAACCAGAGCCACGTACTTAGTGCTTCTGTGAAACAGCCCAAAACCATATTCACTTTTTGTGCAGCTGCCTCACACTGCAGACTCATACTGAGTCTGTGATCTGTGAGGACTCGCAGATCCCTCTCTGTAGCGCTGCCATCCAGACAGGTGTCACCATTTTGCATTTGTCTTTTGATTATTCTTCCCAAGGTATAGCACCTTGCATTTGCCAGCACTGAAATTCATCCTGTTAGCTCCAGCCCAGCTTTCCAATATGTCAAGATCCTTCTGAATTCCACTCCTGTCTTCAAACATATTAACAATCCTTCCCAGTTTGGTGTCATCTGCAAATTTGCTTAAGCATCTCTCAATTCCAGCATCCAAATCATTAACAAACACATTGAACAGCACTGGCCCAAGTCAGACCCTTGTGGGGCTCCTCAAAACTTCTTAAAGCCTTCTGACATTAATCAATTTAAAATTACCCTTTGCTTATGGCTATTGAGCCAGCTATCCACCAAATAGTAATTCTGTCTAACCAACATTTCTCCAATTTATGAGAAGGTCACATGGGACTGTCAGAAGCCTTG